ACTTATCTCGGGTAAGAGGAGAGATTATTGTAAGATAACTCCTTTATCAGTCGGACAAGAAACAAACAAAAACATACGATTATCATTTGTTGACGTTTTGGCGGTTATTATCCACTTTTTAACATTCCGTTATACCTAGATTATTCGTCATTCTGACTGACTTTCACCATAGTAGTTTGCACAAAAGTGCACCTGTTCAAGTTACCACATCCCATGTAGCACACAAAGGTGGAGAAATAAATTAAATGGAACTGTAATGTTCACAAATGTGGGGGAGGATGAGTTGTGACGAGATAAAAACATGAGGGTTTGGCTAGATACTTGAAAATCCGGAGAGTGAAATCATCTGTCACTGACATCGATTCGGAGTCACACCTTCACCTAACGCCAACGCCTAAACCGAGAATAATTCTCTATATTATACTACTTAACACAGGGGATATGGCACAGACACACACGATCAAACACCAGTAGTATTTTCATATCTCTCAGCTTCACTGGTCATTTTTCACAACCTAGGTGGACAATATCAGCAGCGCACTCTAAGGTGACGAGACTATTCGCCAGTACGTTCCTAAAGTCAATGACAGAAAATTCCATTCATGCATGTATGGTGAAACAGAACTAAAATAAGAACGACAGTAGTAGAAATGAGCCTTGTATTTCGTCCTTCTTGGAAGTATGTCTTCCCTCATAGTTTAGTTTCAATATTAAATGAGTAGAATGCAATCTGTAGAATTCATGAAATTAAAAAGTGACGCACTTCTTTCTCAAAGAACCTAGTCAATGTTTCCTCAGTAAAGTGAGTTTGCGTAAACTCACTAGATTGTGAACTGCTGCCAATGAAAATGACAGCAACTCTCAGGATTGAAAGTTATGGTTTTACCTCGATTGCAACATTCAGCAATTGTTAAAAGATCACCTGATGAACACCAGATCTATATAGGAAGTGCATAAGATTTAGTAGAACATACACATTTGATTTCGTTACGAAGTCTTCAAGCTAAATGTGTTACTGTAAGTGCCTACACAGTTTACTTATTAACTCATAACACTGAAGCTGAAAAACTTCTATCTGTCCTTAATGAACTTAATATGGAGAGTCTTGTGAAGTAGTTCCTGTGTTAATAACTTTCTTATGCGGAATACAGGGCAAGACATCCATAATATCTTGCTTCATGTGGAATTTCAATGCAACCCGATGCGCGACAGTATTTATACGAATAATCTGAGAAATAAAGCTCCCCTTACCTGCTGAACAACTTGTCCTTATTTCAACCAAGATAATAATATTCCTTCCCGTATGAGCCTGAGGTATGTTTTTGAAATTGGAATATTGTAACTATCAAATCTTCCCTCCAAATAAAGGCCATTTGAAATACAAGTTCATAACAGTGCTACATATTGTGACCATAGTACTAATGCTTTTAGTCTTCAATTGAAAAGCTGACTGTGATAAGTACATAAAACCTGAAATTAATGATGAAAATGAGCTATGAATACCAACAACTACAAAACCAATAAAGACAATAGAGTTTCAGAATGGTCTTCACACTAACGAAATAACCCACATCTGTAATAGATGGATCACAAATACTTGAGAAAAAATAAGGCTTAAGTCAATTCTCCCATATCACTGCTGTTAGCGGCGTCGGACCCTATAATTGATTTGTACTCACACGGCGCATTAATTTAAAATGAGTAATACATTCGTATAATTTTCACAGCGTTGTCATCGCAGTGTAACACCAGAAGTGAATTCTACTCCATGCAGACTAATGTCGGCCATAGCCTGATGGATTTCTTTTACTGGACGAAAGTCAGCCATTACAGCCATTTGTAGCTGCGTGGTGTTTTATAGGTTGATTAAGATGTAGAAAGCTGTTTGTAAGCCAGTTACATTTTCATTTCAGGCCGCCGATACTGCTCGTGTAGGATATCATACGGCGTCCTAAAATAGTGGCATAGGAGTTTTTAAGGATGTTGAGTTATTACGATTCAGCAGTTTGAAGGATGACGTGGTATATGTATATAAGTAGCTTCAAGTCCTGTATAAATTCAGTCTTATTGTAGGACTGAGCAGCTCCTACTACAAGCCAAATAGGAGAGGAGAGGAGGGCAGCAAATTACCAGAGAGACAGAAAGCATGTGGATACCAGTGGAACAGTGATGTCTGCAGACATGCATGTTTATGTTCATTGTACATCGCCGTCTAGGTAAACCTTTGTAATTATATTCTCCTAGTATTTTTATACACGTATGAGGCCAGTCTGTTTATCGATAATGCGGAATAATCAGTGAAATTGTTCGCGTTCTTTAGACATTTAGATCTCCCAATATTCGATCTGTTCTAGGAATAAGTAGTTTGTTAATGTAATCATGAGTGAAACAGTCTGCACAGTGACGTTCGGAAGCTTATAACCGGAGTTCACTTTCTGACGTTAAGGGGCAAACTTTCCCATATTTTAGAATACTTGACCCTGAAGACGATTTCGCGGAGTGATGATTTAAAGGCTCTTATTGTCATTGTACAAGTTTGGTTACGAAGATCGTAAGAGCCTTCCTGTGCGAGTTATATGTACTTACTGTCTGAGAATGATATTCAATGTAGGACCTTAAAGAAGAATACTAGGTTTATAATAAGTCGCCTTGTCCAGAGTGGGTCAAGATTCAGAATCATGCAACGTGAGATACAGTCTTTCTTACAATCGTAGCCAAGTAGTTTGGAGGTAAAATATCGTTAGATACTTTCCATCCTTATCTTGTCATGTGTGCAAGTGCTGCTAATAATAAATGGACAGTATTCTAGTCGTGGCCTTACACATGTTTTGTACAGAATTAGCTCGGCTTCATCATCGTGAAAGTTCTTAAGAACGCATCCTAAGAAAATCCTCAACTTTCGAGTCTGTGATGCCACTTGCTCAGAGAATGTCAGGTCACTAGAACACCTCAGGCCTAAGTCAACGACACTTCGTAGTCTGGTTAGGTTAGCAGATTGAAGCGTTAATTTCAAGTCAATTGAGGGTGCGCCGAAGCAGATCCAGCCACATTTGTTCAGGTTAAACTGTAGATTCTATAAAGACGACCAAGCAGTCACTTTATCTAATTCTTTCTGCACAACATTCTCGAAGCACCCTAGGTCATCCATTGGAATGTATGAGCTGCTTTTAGGTCATCTGAAAAGATGAATGGTTTCCCATGAGAAAAGGAAGCGCATATGTCTCTGATATATAGTGTAAATAGGAAGAGCCCAATGACACCACCTCAGAAATGTCAAAGTAGATGACAAGTACTATTTGTCGTCTGCCGCGACTGCTGGTCACAAAATTGCAGGAGTCTAGGTAGCATGTTAAACAATATCTGGATTTTTGGAATCCATGTTGGTTCGGACTTATAATGTTGCAGCTAAGCATATGCTTGATTAGGTTATCTTTAACCAGTCTCTCCATAATTCCAGATGCTATAGGTATGATACTGATTGACCTGTAGCTGTTGATTTCTGTCTTCAAGCGGCATTTGTTTCGGGTGCTCTCATCGATCAGATTAACTGGTGACTTATTTCATGGCTTATATGTATATAATGAACCATATCCATCTTTTGTAGGATCTAATGGTTACAGTTATGGAACTAGAAAACGCCTGTGAGATGTCTAATACCGGGATAGGTTGTCTAAAACGAATGTCGCCAAAAAGGTGACGCTAAGGTTGAACCTACTAAGTGATAGACCAAAGGTAAATCAAATCAACTTATCGATCATCCAAAATATGAATTATATTTCGGCATCAGAAGTGTCGTGTGATAATTGCTTAGCTGGTTAGAGATTGTGTATAAACGACCAAATGTAACACGACAGAGTGCGGAAAGGCGTGTATGCTTGACAGGAATCTTCAGCCTAACAAGTTAACTCAGGCAGTGAATACCAGCATCTAATTTTGAGTGTAGAATGCGGGTATAGGGTGTTTCTCTGAATTTTTTAAACGACACTTCGCTTTTGACAATGACGAACTGATTGTATATCTTAGGCGTTGTAAATATATTTCTCTTTCTTGCACATGGGTTGGTTCTCACTGAATATTGCCAGTTTTCTAGATGTGTCTTCTGGTTTTTATCTTTTGTTGGGTGCACTGTGCGTATTTGACGTGAACGGGTCATGATTTCCGTCCCCTCGAAGCACAGTTCCTTATGTCCTTAATCATCTACAACCCATTCATTTTGAAGCCTGAGTTTCAGGGATTCATTATGCCATGCACTGGATGTATCACAGGATCAACGATGACGTTCTGTCACCTGGCTCACAAATGTCTATGTGGTATAATCCATTTTATAAAATGTATATGTTAACTACTAACTTTTCCCTGTTTTGTTGTGTAATTAAAGGAATTCAAGCTATAGACGCACATTTACCATTTAGTATGTCTAATTTACCACTGAAGCAACGAATAAAATTACCAAAGCCCTTTCTCATCATTGATCGAAAAGAATCCAATCACTGTCTTCTTTTTGTCACAATGTTCAACAAATGCAAGAACACACTAGGTGGGTACATATGTCGATGGTTATATATGTTGCCGTATATTATACCTTCTTCCACCAATATAAAGAGTGAGTTGGAGTTTAGGATAGACTCTTGCATTTGTGGACTTGATAAAAATATGTTATCAATGGGAAAGCGTTAACATATTCTCCAAACCTCCCACCATTAACCGAAATTTGAAAATTATTTGACCCACGCCAGATAAAACAGAATCTGAAGCAGTAGATGATCAACACAGTCAGAATAGGCGCTTGGGCTAGTAGTATGCCATGTCTTGCTGATAGATTTGAAAACATATTAGTGAACATTTTCCCTTAGGCTGTGTAGTTTAACATAAATCAATTGTCTATCAGCCATCATAATTTTACTTGCTAAGGAGTCAAGCACAGACAAAGGAGATAAGACAGTCCATACACGTCTAAGAGTGAGCTCAACAAATCAAATAGGTATTGGAGATCGGATGACCTCATACAGCGGCGCTTCACACGGATGTCGCGCTTATTCTTCTACAGGCGTATGAAGGATGTCATTAATCGTCTCCCGGGACATTACAAAAGAAGATATTTGGAAAATCAGGATAACTTAGCAAATGAAAAGTTTCTCGCCACATCTTTAATTGCGAAAGAGGAAACTGGAGCTGTGTAAACTAGTTAAATTACATTGGCTAACTTTCGAATGTAGATTTCCTAATACATATTTTGACTCACGACTCAATGTCGTCTACCCTCCTGAGTCTCAAAAGTGCTTGTGGGGTGGGGAGGGAATTATTGGGGGCTACTGGGAGAAGAAGAACCAGAGACCCAGGTGAGATAATATTTTAATTATTGTTTAAAGGTTTCCAAAAACATGGTCTCCTGTTCTTATGGAACAGTTGTTCCATAGTGAGATCTTAAACCGTTGGATGGTTATAATTGTGTCGGAAACTGCACTAAAGCAGATTGAAGAGTCTGGCGGTTTTGATTTTTACATACTTTCGGTTTGTTGATGCTGTCGTATGTAATGTCTCTTAGACTCCGGAATCAAAGCTTAAGAGTAGACTTGGGATGCACCTTAAGAGGGACATGCTAATTACCCTTGCAAAAGCAGAAGAGAATGGGAATATTCCAAGCAGTCTGCAGAAGTTTTCAAGATTTATAATACCTGTGAGTTACACTTTTAGAAAACCTAATGCTTCTTTTTCTTAAAAAGCAAACAAACAACCAAGTACTACGGGTTTCGTTGGATAAAGCTAGGGTTCTTGGTTAGTTGCAAGCTATTTAAGCACTTATACTGTCTTTTAGGAAGTTTATTTCTCGTATTTTGTGTGAGACACTGCGTTGTTGCTTGTTTGATACTTTTTTTAGCAGACTCATATATCTATCCTCTCTATAGAGCTTTTGGATTTACCACTACGTAAACGGTTATTTTTAACGTTGAATTCACTGAGCTCTGCTTAAATATTTTAAAGATTGCACACTGCAACTCTGGGAAGCTGAAATAGTTATATTATTAACTTTAATATCCGTCAACTAGATTAGGCGTGTGATGGGGAGGATGTCTTTCGAACTACTTTTTAGGTAATAATTCAGTTCGTTAGGTTTGTCTGGTGGATAATTCTATTTTTGTCCATTTCCTATATGACTTTGAATTCTGCAGTATTTCCCCTTTCATTTCATTTACAATTTCATCTTTTAAATCTTTGGTTTTCGAAAAGTGCTATCTGTTTTCCGTGCGTTTCAAGTGTTTCGTTAGTGCTTTAGGAGATGGCGCAGTTGTGAAAGATTCCTTTGAGTTTAATGTGGTGTAAATCACGGTTTTCATTTTATGTGGCTATGCAACATCATGGAAGACAACGGGAGTCATTATTTCTGGTAACCTGGTACTTGCTTCGGAGACGTCGGTTTGTATGCGCTAACAAATTAATTGGGTTCTTTTACTTCTTCCAGCCTTACTCTGGTAAGATGGAGTACATTTGCCTTTATTTTCGTCATATTTAACGTGATAACGTGTAGTTATTTGCTGTTTGACACTGGGAACTTCACCTCCTGAAGCGTAGAATAATTGATCCTGCTGAGTTAAATAACCTAGGAAAAAGCTTAACCTTTGCACTGCATTCACTTGCATGTAATCACAAAATAGAGTGGATAGGACAGGTGAGAGTATTAAAAAGTAATATAATTAGGTGGAAAGAGAGAGTGAGATTAATCGCTGAATCTTTGTTTATCGATTCAACACCGCACACGTGCAATCTGAATTACGCAACCCCTATACTGGAGATATGGGAAGTGACAACAAACAACAAAGGGAAATTGGAGAGACAGAAAGAGAGAGAAAATATATAAGACAAACTGCTTAAATTGATATAGTTATGAGCAATAATTTAGTCTCGAAACGTCATCCACTTGTTAATTCTACATAACTTATCTAATATGGAACTGTGTAGTTATGTCTTATTGATCTTCTGGCGTCGAATATTCTGATGACTTCATCGGAATACATTGCATCTACTGTATATTGCTTGAATTTCTCTCATCAAGAGTGCTGCATTTTCTAACACTCACATGTTTTATAATCTAAAGGGAGAGAGTAACGCTTTTTATTAGGTGCAAATATCATGAGTGAGAATTAAAGTAGTGCATATTTGTTGCGTTTGTTTTTCAATGAAAGCATGATTATCTGTCAGACGAAAATAATTCAGCCTATGCACGTAACTCTTAAACGACTATGTTATGTCACAAGCTCCCACAAATCGAGTTAAGTTGAAAACCTGGTAGTCTGAATAACTGTACTGAAGGCTAAATTCGACTATTTTGAATTTTTCATTCTTTCTTTGAATTGTCAAACCTCACATCACTTAATCTAGAAGAAGGACAATTAAATGCCTGCAATACAAGGAAATGATGCAAGGAAATGTTCAGTAGGAAGATTCATAAAATTAACATGAATCCGTGGATATTCAATAATTTTTGTTCATATCTTTATTGTTTCTACGGCTTACGTGTAAGTGTATAGCGTATTCCAAACTGTTAGGAAACTGTATTACAACTGATAATTTCAGTTTCAACATTTCTAACAGATAACCTTTAGAGTGATCATAGAGACTGGAATTTTGAATCACTCAAACTATCATTAACGCTACGAAACGAAAATTCTCCATTTAAGTGATAGGCACAAATCATCTCCCATAGGGCATATTTAATATCTGTACATATGATTACTGGTGTTCATCCGTTTTTTTCCTAGATTTCGGCTAAAATGTCTTAACCTAAGATATTTGAATTTAAGTTTTAGCAATGGTCTAGCTTGAATCGATGGTCGACTACAAAGAATCCAGATTTATACACTAATAAATAGAAGTATTCATGAGTATCTAAACATTATTTAAAAATATGTTTGCTTGTTAAGCTTTCATTTTAATAATTATAAACCACTAGAATGGAGCCCAAAAGAACAACTCCTATCTTTTCAAGTGCTGCTGATTTCCGTATATAGATTCTTGTTTTTGAGAAAGGATGTAAACTGTAGTTGAGATAGGCTCTAAGTTAGTGTTTTATGTGGTCATTTTGAAGCCAACCCTAGTACTTTGAGAATACTTTCTGCTTCACCCTTGCTTTCCTACTAAATAGTGTACATATTTTCCGTGATTAGTTTAGAACTTTTTGTTGGTGAGTATTTAGGATGTAACATTGTACGACCCACGAAATAATTATGTCGTACAGTAATCAGGATATAGTCCAACCAATGGTTAGTTAAAAAAAACAAATTTCGATAGTGCTAAAACCTGATCATTGACATATCGATGGTTGTGTATATCGAAAAACTGTTACACCCTTATATTATAGGTTGCTCGAGCGTACTTTGAAAATTAAAACACGGTATTTTCTGCACATTTGGCAGCTCTATTAGAAACATGCTCAAACTGTACAAAATAAGTTCCTATTGACTCTATCAAACTCTTGCTCAAGTCATCCCAAGTTATTGGTAATGCCTGTGGTGTGATTTTCTATAAACTGTCATATTTCGCGTTCACGGTAATAGTCCATCAGACGACAAAATGGTTTGGATAAATACTGATCAAGGATAAACAGTGTGATCACTTAGAAATTAGGTAAATTTGTTACACATTTCCCTGGAAGAATCGGAAATGTGTTTTAACGTCAAGTCAGAATTCCTTGGAAAATTACCGAAAATGATTGGCTTCCATCCCATATTATTATTTTTCAATAGACTTCGCCTATGTTTTATTTAAACACGAACTGCTCCCTCAATGCATTTATGCATTTAAACTTCTCTACATTTAATTTAGTTCATTTCATTATTATTCCATTTTGTTACTGTTCTTCAGTTGTGTAATACTAATGTTTTAAAATTATATACAGCATTATTAATCAAAAGTAAAGGACAGATAAAAAACTATCCGAAGTTCTGTTCTGTCGCATTTAGTTGATAGTGGTCATTCAGTGATTCATGACAACGCGTCGAATCTTTCCAATGGTCTGCATATTCGTCTATTGCATATAGCTGACGCGATTGACATTTTAACTACTAGGTGCAAGCTTTGCATTTAGAAGTTTGTACATCCATTGTTCCACTCTTGGCTAGTGAAGACCTAATCAGTTGAAAGTATCACCACTTTCCCTTATATACTTTGTAGTTCATCTCTTAACAACTCTTTCTTAGTCTTATTGCATCTTCGTCAAAATTCAGTTTACTTACTTTCAAGTATTAGACACTGTTTGACCTGGCGACCCCCATCATCAAATCAACGCTGGACACAAATAGACCACATAGCAATAAGCTATCGTTGGCGTGGGTCGGTAGGAGATTGTCGCTCCTTCTGGAACACGTGTGTAGATACCGATCACGCACTGGTCCGCGCTCGTGTGTGCTTACGACTGAACGGACGTAGGAAACAGCGAGCGGTAAACCCATCACTCCAGCTCGACAGGGAACTAAGTCCCTATTTGAGAAGAATAGCTACAATATCTGAGTGACAGTGTCTCACCCTGAAGAACTGGAAGAATATCAGTCAGCCATAGATACAGCTGTGAATAATCAAATAAACCAGGATTTCGACTCTCATCCGAACTGATAGATGCTAGAAGACTTATCGGGAGCTCCGAATTCAATGAGGAGCGAAAGCTGCACAAGAGGAAACTTACGAAAAGTCTCCGCAAGGACCGTGAACAGTGGTGGTTGACAAAGGCGAAAGAGATGGAAAAAGCATCGGCGATAGGCAACACCAGACAACTATTCAGGCTTATCAGGGAAACAGGGGTAAAAACAATGATAAGCGAAATAAAATATTACCAGATAACGTTGGAGCGCTGGAAAGAACACTATGAGGAGCAGTTTAATTGGCCTACAGCCACACTTAACCTACCGGACATCCAACACCTCCCTGAATGGGAGATAGACACAGGTCCTCCGTCCTTAACCGAGGTTACTAAAGCTGTCACCAATCTGAAGCTAGGCAAAGCAGCGGGACCTGATTTATTGACTCCAGAGATATTTAAGTACGGAGGCGTCAGTTTACTGTCTGCGTTAACGGAGGTTCTAGGCAGCGTCTGGGAATCAGAGGAAGTCCCATCGGGTTGGTGTAAGTCACTGATCATCCCGATATACAAGAAGGGGGACAAGTCGTCTTGTGATAATCACAGAGGGATTAGCTTGACTAATATAGTATCTAAAATCCTAGGCTCAATAATACTGCGTAGATTAAGTGGTGCTCGGGAGACACAAACACGAGAAAACCAGGCAGGTTTTAGGCCAGGTAGAGGGTGTATTGATCACATCTTCACCCTTCGACAGATTCTAGAACATAGGCATTCCTACCGGCGTCCGACAATCATTATATTTCTTGACCTAAAGGCGGCATTCGATTCTGTCGACCGAGAGATTCTCTGGCGATGTTTGGCTGTAAAGGGAATGCCAAGAAAATACATTGCACTGATTAAGGCACTCTACTCGTACTCATGCAGCCAGGTGAGGGCTTATGGCGAGTTGTCATCTGAAGTGGTGACGACTAGTGGCGTCCGTCAAGGATGCCCATTATCCCCATTCCTATTCAATTTCATCATAGATGTACTAATGGACTTAACCCTAACTCACTTCAGCGACTCAGGGATTGACTTGCTACCAGGGAAGAATCTCGTTGACTTAGAATATGCGGACGATATAGTCCTTCTAGGCGAGGACTCTGACAAAATGCAGAGTCTACTGAACACCCTGAGCAACAATCTCCGCATGTTTGGCATGCGATTCGCCCCTATAAAATGTAAGATGATGCTGCAGGATTGGACTTCATCGACCCCTAGATTAGAAATAGGATGTGAAGTGGTAGAACACGTTGACCGCTTCACTTACTTGGGAAGTACCATCAGCCCCAACGGGTTGATCTCCGACGAAATTTCAGCACGAATACAGAGGGCTAGGTTCGCATTCGCCAGTTTTCGCCGTCTCTGGCGTAGACGCGATATCCGACTATCGACCAAAGGGCGTGTGTACTGCTCAACAGTCCGCTCCGTCCTCCTTTATGGCTGTGAGACCTGGCCATTGAGAGCAGAAGACATGAAAAGATTAGCTGTCTTCGATCATAGGTGTCTGCGTTCTATCTCCCGCGTGAAGTGGTATAATAGGGTGAGCAATATTGAGGTTAGGCGTCGAGTGCTAGGTAAGGCGGGGAAATCAATCGACGAGACTGTGAAATTACTTCGACTGAGATGGTTAGGACATGTGCTACGTATGCCTAGTCATCGCCTTCCTCGACGGGCAATGTTAGCTGATATAGGATCAGGCTAGAAAAGAGCTAGCGGCGGTCAAACCAAAACATGGCACCAATCAATGAAATCCACAACAGTTAATCTAAGCCACGTAGGAAGATGTAGACTTCCTGGTTGGGGCCCTCGGGATGGTAAAAACCAATGGTTGGAAACAATTGGTGACATGGCTCAAAATCGTTCTCAGTGGCGCAGATGCATCCACTCCTTGTGACTTATGATTTCCAATGAAACTGTTTTGTTCTCCGTTATTACTATTCCTTTGTCTCACACCTCTGTTTACTGTCTATATTATGCATTTCTTCTACTTTCTTCTCTTGCTTTGCGTGCTACATAGATTGTGGCGACTTGAACTGCCGCACATATGTGCAAAGTTCTATGTCGAAAACCGACCGACCGACCGAAGTATTAGTTTGTAGGGATTTGATTGGTTACAGAATTTCACCATGAACGGACATTGGTCAGAGAACCGTTGGAAAATGTGGGAGTACTGGACAGATGTTTCGTCCTAGCTCGGCACTCTTTTCAGTACGCACCCACTGGGATTCGAACCCAAGGCCTTCTGGTTACAAGGCGAGCTCGTAGACCATTAAACCACTGGGACCCGACCCAATGGCCCATGAATTCCTTAAAAACTAGCATTACTTAATCTGACTACGTTTTTATCTGCTGCATCTATTTCAACTTATATTTGGGGAATCATACCACCTTTCATTATGCTTGTTATCGCAAATGGTTGTAGGTTTTTATCGTTCTTATTAATAAAATTGCTGTTATTACGACTCATTACATAATTTGTATGTACAATTCTATCATCCAGTTTACAAATAATCATGGCTGGTTGACACTTAATATTTATCTGTAAAGTTATGTATATCAGAGCGAAGTCTGATGAAGTCTAATTGAAAACAGTATTGTTCGCTTACGTACATGTTGTTCTAAAAAGATCACTGAATAACGGGTTTATGAGTTTAGCCTTTTCTGTTCTCTGTTTTTTTGAAGGCTTTATTATACCACATGCTAATGCAACCTAACTATTACATTCAGATTTATGTACTTGGCAATAAGTTGGAACTGTTGTAATGTAACTGTTTTTGTACCACAGGAATGTGCAAACTTCTGAGTCCAAGTTGTCAACTTAGACGTAAAAATCTAGTGTCTAGTCGAATGAACAAAACACAAGGTATGCATTACAGGATTTCATCATGAGCTGACATCGGTTAGAGAACCATTGGAAAGCCAATACTTGAACAGGTACACGTTAGTGCCATTCACTTGATGTAATAATAAGATACCATAGTACAGTAGCAAGTTACCTGGACATACACGGGACACAGCAGTAGAATGCTCGCCAACTACGCAGATGTTCCGGGATTGAATCCCCGGCCGACGCACTCACTAAGCCAGAAATAAGACTGGTAAAGGGGAAAGGTTGGGCATGAGGCTAGCAACCCCATCCCGTAAAAATAAGTACCCCTGCTACCGAAACTTCGAGCCTCTAGCTTGAAGCCCTATGTTTTACTAGGAATGTAAATGAATAAATAAAAATGTTAATTCATGTATCATATTCAGTGTTAATGTTTCAATAAACTTGTTGATAGCAAAATATTTGTAATCTTTATTGACTGAAATCATTTTGAACTTCAAATGAGGAAAAAAAATCAAAGGTATCACGTTAGACTGGAGACTGAAACTCGTCTCTAAAGTATCCAACCAGCTAGTCTCTTTTACTTCCCTTTCAGTGATTTCTACCATTGATGTTATTCTCATTGAAAAGTAATTCATAGCTTGACAATCAATTTTGATTATTATTATTATTTTGCTGATATGTAATTTACACTTTTTTTTGTAGCTTGAAGAAGCCGAATGGATTGGTCTTACACTAGAAGAAGCTGTTAAAAAACAGATGAAAATAGAACATGAAATAGCCAGAAGCCAAGTAAAACCACTGAAGCTTGTTTTGGCAGAAAACTTGATTGATAAATTGATCAACTCTGTTGAAAAAGAAAAAGGTTAGATGCATTTCAATATCACATGTATATATTCAATTGATTTTTGAATTCGGTGGACTTTGGTAGAAACATCACTAATATTGTTCTTCTGTTTAAACACTCTTTAGTTTAAATATTAGTTATGAGAGAGATTTATTCTCATAAAAGTGTATGGAAGCAGTTTAAAGTGAATGGATGTATAATAACAATAATCTTTGCTTCATTCGCAATCATATTTTTGTTTTTTTAGTACAGAGTTTACAGCATATGATATTGCAAAATTTATTCTTTGTACAACTTTTTGTATCTATTCTAAAATAAGTCATAGTTATTAGTGAAATTGAAATAAGATATGGGATGATAGTGGAGTTAGGAAAATTATACATTCTTGAAAACCTTGTTGATGAGAATTAGTCTAATACAGTTGTCTACAAGTGTGATTGGAGAAGAACAAACTATGGCTGAATTTTAGCATTTGGTTATCTTTGTGTTTGTTTCTTTTTTTCCATTTCGGGCTTAATATCTTGTTCAGAGTCATTTGACCTACATTTTTTTCAGATTTAGAGAACACTTTCATCCATCGTCTCATGTCTCTTCTTCATTGTGTTTATAAGATGCATAATGGTAAATTGAGAACAACTAGGAATTCTCTGTCATTGTATGATACAACGTAAACACAACCAAACTGTTAAGGCGTCACAACGGTAAAATATGTAGGATGGAAGGTTTGCTGGAGTAGAGATATAAGACCAACGTGTTGAGTTGAGAGATAATGGTGGTCCATCAGTTATGCCTTGGATTTTGACAGGCTACTTAAATACCCTTATAAGATTACTTAAAATAACCTCAATGCATTTAGAAAACCAAAACAAGTCTTTTCTGAGTATTTCGTTGCGTATGCCACAGCCTCTTCAGCAGAACATCTCGGATTTTATTTACCATCAATATATAGTCAAATGGTACATAAATTAAAGTGCGTTGTTTCACAATTTGCTAGTTACCACAACTTGTAAAGATATATATATCCTTAAGCTTTTTGCCGTGTGATTTCGCTAGTTGACCGACCCTAAATGCAATGCACTGATAGCTAATGAGTCGTTTAAGTTCTGCATGCATTTGATCAATAAATCTCGATCAACTGTGGGCAACTGAGCATCTGTTTTTTTTCTTTAATTTTTAGGTGACGAAGGTGAGAAATCATCCGGTTATCTGTCTAAATTCTTCAATAGACAAACATCTGATAGTAAAAGTGTATGATATTTCCTTTGTCAAAATTCATATTTGTATTTATATGCTCTTACTTTTGTCCAATGGGCATATAATTTGTACAGTCATTGAAATAAAAAAAATTTTATTCGAAATTGCTACTGTAAAGTATTTAAGTTGTTTTCTAAGCGTCGCTACTTTTTTTTGGGGGGGGGGGGGGTTCATTGTCATCTTATGTTATGATGGAATACTACTGAGTTGTGGTTTTCGTCTAACTAGACTACAATACACCTGCAGAACACAATACTATAACCAGTATTGATAGCGCGAAAATGTCTCCCACATTGCGATAGACACAAAAGTGTTTGACTGGGAAAAACGGCAGCTTTTATTAGACAAAATACATGGTATATTTAAGGCATAAATAAACGAATTAAACCTGTCCAATAAGGTTATCATGTCAGTACATGCATAAATCACGACTTCACTGCTGGCAAAGACACTTGTCTGTCCTAACGTCTTAGTTTACATTAATTATTAACATCAGTTTTTTAATAAAACTTTCAGTAAGAAATACTCGAAGGATTTATCCTAGCGTTGCTAATTTTTCAAGGACCATGCAGTCACGAGGAATGTTTAAAGATGTTGATATTTTACTGTACAAGGAAATTATTTTGATAATTTCATCTTCAGGTTCTTCAGTTGTACATCCACAATGACTTATGATAAGACAACTCGGCAACCCCTCAGTTGTCCAAAGTCGTTAAGGGAAACAGGAATAAAGTCTCTCAAAAGCTCTATGCCCCTCATAGTGGATATGAAGCGCCAGAGAGATAAAAATTAAGGCCTTACATTTCTATATGGGTTGATACCTCAGTTCTGTAAGCTGACCGACTGAGTTTTCAACGTCGAACGCGTACAGAGGGTCAGCAGTTCAAGTTACCACATTCCATGTAGCGCTCAAAGGTAGAGAGAATATATTCAAAGGAACTATAACGAACGGAAGTATACAGGAAGAGAACTAAGTTCATGGAGAGTAATAAGAATTTGAAAGATTATAAAGAGTGAATGTGCCACCATTTTCCAACTTACACCATCTCTGGAGGAGACATGATTTCCGGATATCAAAGGACATATGTACTCTACAGCAGTTGGCCCTGTTCTTCTTTATGGTTGTGAGACATGGCCATTGAAATTGGAAGACCTGAAGACGTTAGTTGTTTTAGATCACATGTTTGCGTTCTATCTCCCATGTTAATTGATATACTATAGTGGGTAATACTGAAGTTAGGCACAGAGTGTTGAGTAAAGAAGAGAAAGTAAAACGATGAGGTTATGAAGGTTAATTGACTAAGATGGCTAGGGCATGGGTTAAGCCTGTCAAGCCATAGCCTTTCTCGTTAAGCCATATTAGCTAACATCAGATTAAGTTCGAAAATAGTTAGAGATTTTGAATTAAAAACCCTAAATTAACCAATGAAATCTTTAACTGTAAGTCAGAGCCATGTAGACTGCCTGGCTTGGATGATCGAGACGCTAAGAATGATTGACTTCAGACCGTCGGTGATATAGCTGTTTGCATGTGTGCTGAGACTTCATGTAGTTTCTAAGAAAGTTTTCCGTCTGACTTATTACATAAAGAAGTTGAGGCACTCAGGTATAACCCAATCTCTTCTCATACAATTTATTAGTTCATGTGTTTTGCCCATTATTCTTTATTGTTCTCCATTATTCTTCCCTGGGCTACTCAAGAAAGACCATATAATACTACGAAGAACATTGAAGGCTGTAAGTAGGGTCAGTGCTATCCCTTTGACTCAACTAACCGACACTGTTGTCAATAGGCATATGAATTCTTGTAAACACTTAGCTAAAGTTATCTTGTTTGATAGTGAACATCCTCTTTATTCACAATTGTTTCCTTGCATCTCTTCGGGTAAGACCAGAAGAAATTTCATAAACATTTATGCTCTTACTACAAAATATAAAAATTCGACCGTACCATATTTGGCACGAGTATTGTGTGAAGAGACAAATATCAGAAAAGAACTTTTACAACTTTTAAATCATTAACTAAACTATAAAGTGTAATGATGCATATTATTGCATGTGTTATTTGTTATATTATTTATTTATTATTCACTATGACCTAGCAATGGTGGGACTTTGTTGGGTTTTTTTTATTTTTTCCTATTAACTATCAATATTTTAACATTTCATACATTTATATAATTATAAACAGAGCTAAACCATTGCAATATGTAAAAGAAACGCTGAAAATTCCATGCTGTAAATTGTTATTGTTGTGGAATAAAGTGATTATTATTATTATTATCAGCGATCAGTCCATTAGAGTTGACGCAATTCCCAAACTAAATGAAGTGGCCATGTTGTCTGCGCTAATTATAACAGGGGACACACGCAGTGTGTTGTATGGGTTCCTCCAGAAAGGCGATGGTAATTCATGAGTATTTCGAAAAGCTGCTGTAGAAGAAACGCTGGAGAGACGGTTGTATTCTGGAAGAGAAGCGGATTACTGACAGAACACGAAGAACTAAATTGCTTATATTATTTGCAAATAGTGGGGGAAATGCAATGCCTATTACTTTATTGATTTCATTGTTATTTGTCATAGTTAACACCAAATGTGGTTTTCATTAGTCTGTTCTCCACGATTTATCGTTGCCTCTGGAGGAGATGAAGGTTCTGTGGTCACAGAATTTTTGAGACAGACAAGTGAGGATATTACTCAGTAACTGTGACAAAACGATGTTCTACTGAGAACAAATAATTCCTAATGTAATATTTGATAGTCGAAGGTAAAATGAAAATATGGATGCCACAGGATTCAGACCATTTTGGTGCATTTCCTTGTCAGGCAAGAGAATGAGGAACCATAAAAGTTATCTTATCTGATAAATCGCCGCGATAGTGATTCGGCAGCCATTGTTTCGATTTCTGTCTGAAGTCTGCATTTCGTCTTCACTCATCAACAGTTATATCTATATTATCCCTAATTCAAATCTTTCTCAGAAAAATATTTTCCTAAATAGATATCTGCTGAGCTTAATTAGCTTTCAGTGACATATGAGTAACCTTTTTCAGATATGGGGAACACACTCGACTTATCACGAGAAATTCCTTTGCATGATTTCACAAAGTTAGAAATTAATTGGTCGGCACGTTATCCCCTATAATAAACCAAATGTGCCTAAACTCTTCTTAATTCACACTGATGAAAATGACTGTTATTCCATTGAAAACTATTTCATTCCTTATGCATGAGACTAAACTACTGAGCGCCAAGCCAATTAACGTACGTATGCTCTTCAATGAACAGATTCCAGAAACTTTACATATTTTAAAATCAGTTCTGTGAACAGTGTTTATTAGGGGTGATTTAGATTTTGCAAAAATTCCTAAAATATATTTCATGGTGAGTTGTGACATATCATCAAGCACTTATCCCTTTTGGACACTAGGTCATCCAAACGTTAACTGGCCTCCTGCATAAGTATGCACTTAAACTGACATTGGTCTGTTATTGTTAATTCCTTTCCTATATGTCGTTTGCCATTCTTTTTTGTGTTCGAATTTATACTACTTACCATTAGTAAGTAGTTTGAGTTTGTTACATCTTTACCGCGACTTCGCTATTGAAGTTTAACTCAATCTATTTACGTTCTATTTGATATATATTAATAATTTTCTTTTGGTTGAACATTATCTGCTGCATATGTCTTATTTATGTACCTTTTACTGCTGAATATTGTTTATGTGTATTCCTTTACTCCATGTCTGGCATTCGTGCGCTTTTTAAATCTGCTTCGTCTTTGACACAGCTTTGCTGTTTTTTCCGCACATTAATTGTGCTTTGATGACATTCAGTCACAGAACCTCACAACTGATGTTTGTATATTATTATTTCATTATTTATGTTTAATACAGTACCGCATTTTAGACAAATCTTGAGTTTTTGGATTTTTATGCATCACTCAACGTGTGGTTTTAATAATCACTTGATTTATCGTCCCGAATTTCCTTTGGAAGAAATTCACAGTTATATGAATACAGGAAAACAGTATCTGGATGAATCGTATTCTAGGTTATTGGTCCTCTTTCTTTGTTAATCCATTAGTGATCACATTTAAGTGGTTATTTAAGGTAGTGTGTTCATTGGCTTGACTGCTATTCTCTAGCTTCACCGGAAGTACTTCTGTCTTTTAAATGTAAACTGCTAAATATAGATAGATGCAACAACCACCTGATATCCGTTAGACAGTATGTCTCTATTGTTACTTAGTAA